GCATAACGCAAGGAAAAAAAAAAAAAAAAAAAAAAATACTACCCCGGGACTTCCCTGGTGGTCCAGTGTTAGGACTCTGTTCTTCCACTGCAGGGGCACAGGTTCAATCCCTGGTGGGGAACTAAGACCCTGCATGCCCCTTGGTGTGGCCAACATAACAAAACAAAACAAAATGAACCTACCCCAAGAAAAAAATCCATCTCTCCTACAATGAAGCCACTCAGAATCTCGTCAGATTTGAAATAATTTTTATCAACAGTACAACTGATGAATCTAGCAATCAAACACTGCACACTCAGTTCTCAGCCACTTCTTTTCCTTCTGTTCAATTCTCAGCCCTGCCCCATCTTCCCTTACAAAGAAATCTATAGGTAGAGAACAGACATATGACTAAAAATAAGACCATATTATCAAAATGTAATATCCCTACAAAAATTGGATCCTGGTGTGGAAAAATAAAAACCTATGTGTACAATACAAAAAGTAAATTAAAAACAAAAAAGATAACACTAAACCATAGATAACAGTCAAACAATAGAAGAAATTCTGTGTATATAAAAATTAAAATGTATAAGGAATTATAAAAACAATAAATTAAAAAGATAAAGGAGAAAATCAAGTATATGTAGGAATATACAAATGGATTAATGACAATTAAAAAATAACTTGTTAAAGTTTAAGCCTCACTAATAATGGGGAAAGGAACCAATTAAGTCAACTGAGGACTATTTTCACCTATTAAAGCCACCAAATGATGGTTACATTATAAATTAGGACAATCTTCTGGAGAGCAGTTTTATAATATATAACAAAAGCTATAAAATCGATAGTCCCTTGACCTGATAACTCCACTTCAGAAATATAGCCCAGAAAAACAACTGAAAAATAAAAGAAAAAAAAGGAAAAAAAGCAGAAAGACTACTAAACTATGCAAAGATATTAGTGAAAAACTGGAAGTAACCCAAATATTCAACTAGCAATTGAGTTCTAATCACAGCAACTTAAAAACAACAGAATCTTTCCTTGCCATTAAAATAACAATGACTATTCAAATATAGATAAGTATACGTAAAAGTGTTACATAAGAAAATATAAAGCATAAAGTGGACATTGATTACAATTACATGAAAATATGCCTTTACAATATAAGGAAAGGAAGTCTAGTAAACTGGGCTTTGTTTTTTTTGTTTTACTCTGTGTGAGTGTCTGTGTGTGTGTGTGTGTGTGTGTGTGTGTGGTTAGGAGACTACTTTTAATCATTTTGATGCTCATTTACTTTTTGCCACTGTCAAGTTAATTTTTAAAAAGCTTTTTCCTTTTAAAAAATGTTACTTGCTTAAAATGGTCTACTTAGAAACAAATAAATATAAACAAAAATATTGTCAATACACCTCAGTATAAAACTCTATCTTCCAAACCACATTAGTCATAAAGTATTAAAACATATTGGTAAGCACTGTTGTTTTTGCCCTTTTTTTGAAAGAACTTCAGTCCAACAAAAAGTCTGACTACAAATTAAATTGGTAATACATGCAGTTTTTCAAAAATATTTTTTATCCATTGGAGAATTTTTTACCATTAATATTACAGATGGTGGAGTTTATCCTTGTCATAATTATTATATCATTTTCTGTGCTTTGCAAAACTAAAAAAAATTAGTCAGCAGATTTGGTGATAATTAGCATGGCCTCATTCTTGTAATTTAATACAAAGAAAATTATCAAACGAACACCAAAGTAATTTAAATATTGTCCTGTTGAAAGCAAATTTTAAATCATTTTATTTATATTTAGAGTCTACCATACCCCTCCAACTTTCTTTAACTTTGTCTGATTTTCCTCTGTTTGGATCTTACTGGAAGGAAAGATAGCTGAACTTAGATTTTAGTAACATCACCCCTTTCTCCTTTCATCTCCTTCCAATTGACTGTGCCAGTGGCTAACACAAGGGAACATCCTCCCAAAAATAAAAAGGATCACCTTTTTGTGTGTGTCAATGCCGAACAGAAGGTGCATTTACACTATGAATTACATTTGCTGAACAAACAACAGTCAATCCAATGCTTTTTGGTCCTTTACTAAAGTATATTCTATTTTAAAATATGACCATTGTTGTTTCCTTGTAAATCCAAAATCGTGTTTCGTCCATTCTCAAAAAGCTCATAATCCACAGTTCTTATTTAGTGAAATTAACTGCATAAACGCGATTTAATAATGATTTGCTGAGCTATTTTCTACAATCTGAGATATACAACGATTATGCTTTCATTCCGTAGTCGATTATCTAACCCCCGGCAAATTTTGAAATTAGCTTGATGCTATTATTTTTAATTGTGTCGTTTTTCCATAGTCCTTGGTCCGTCAACTCCCCTCCTGAACCCCTTCTGCCGTGCGGCCCGCCGCCCCCAGACCAAAAAAAAAAAAAAAAAAAAAAAAAAGCCTAAAAGTTCTGGGTCTTCCCTGGTGGTCCAGTGGTTAAGACTCCGTGCTCCCAATGCAGGGGGCCCGGGTTCGATCCCAAGGAACTAGATCCCGCATGCATGCCGCAACTAAGACCCGGGACATCCAAATACATAAATAAATATTAAAAAAAGAAAAAAAGTTCTGCTTCCATTGTAGCACCCAAAAGAGATTGCACTCATTGACTAATTGCTCGTAAATTAAAACAAATCAAAACAAGGCAATCCTTAAAATAAACTGAAGCAGTCAAGGCCTACCAAATGAAGTTTCTGTCACTTTTGAACAGTCTTATCACAATACTGCCACAGAGTATTTTATTTTCACACACCAGACAGGTAATAGTCCATGGCTATAAATTCCATCCTAAGACACAAGGCCAGGTAGATGGACTGGGTCCCAATGCCCAGTCAGCCTACATCCATCCTCCCTTCAGCTGACCAGGTCTTGAAGCGTTGGTGGTAGACAGAGTAGGCCCTGCCTTCCTCTGGGCAGTGGGAGAGAGCAGGTGTGCTCTTCACTCACTCCCGTGTCCCGCTGGGTCCCCAGCACCAGAGCACAGGGGCCGCCTGGGTGGGCCCACCAGCATCCACCACACTTCCAGGGAAGGGGAGCCCCTCGCACCACTGACTGGAGGCAGCCTCAGTCCTGGCCCTCAAGGACCTCAGAGACCCTGGTTCTCTGCCCAGCAAATATATGAATTCTTTCAGGTCCTGCCCAAACGGCACCTCCCAGCAAAGTCCTCATTCACCCCAGCATCCAGCACCTCTGGACAGCAGGATGATGCACAGGATCCCTGCTGCTGACCCTTCTGGAACACCCACTGGGCTGCTCCACCCTGGGGTGCTGGTGCACACAGGTAGTGCCACAGAGATCTGAACCAGGAAGGGGAGGCCGCCCCAAATCTCAGTTCAACATGCTGAGTGTTGACTGACAAAACCCAAAGCAAGGACCGCACACCTGCAGGAGAGAAGTCTGAACCTGAGACCAGGGAGGAGTCGGTCTATACGGCAGCACAAACAGAACAGGAGGGCAGAGTGGCCACAAGGGTGGCATTATCCTCACAAAGGACTTTCCGACCAGGTCTCTGCAAACACCCCGGGGGCACTGCCGTCCTAGTTCCCCACACACGGAGAGTGAAGGCCGAGCACCCGAGGCAGTGCGACGGTGTCTCTACAGTCACAGCGGTGTCCATCGCCAGGCTGGGGTCCTTGAGAGCGAGACCGGGGCCATCTTCCTACAGCAGGCGCTCAGCAGAAGCTTCTCTGTCCCAAAAGGGAGGGAGATGGAACAGAGGCAGGAAGGAGCCTGGAGCCCACCCATTTCCTTCACACATACAAATTTTATAGAGCAAAATTATATGACCTGAAACAACAGAAACTAGAAACATAAAGGGTAAGGATGAAGGATAAACCTGTATCTCGACCACAAGAAGTACCAGGCACTGCTTTGCACAATGATCAAATAGTTCACAACAGACAGGCCAAAACACAGAGACAGAAACTCGATGAGAGAAAAGACAAAGAAGGAGTAGCGGTTACACGCTCCCCGCAGAGCTGCCTCAAATGCCCCAGGACCACGCTGTGCAAGGGAAACCCAGCGAAGCCCAGCACCTGAGGGCGACCTGCCTGTCCCACACGCTGGGTGGCACGCATGCACACACAAGACGGATTATGCCTCCCCATTTCGTCCCGGTTTGCAGCTAAGACAGTTTATGGGTAGGAAACCTGAATTTACATGCTTCTCCGACCTTCAAAGAGGTTTTACTGTTTTGCTATCCTTCGGTCTGAACTTCACACTGCCTGGCTAAAAGCACAGGCAGAACACCACATCGCCTCCTTTTCCTCCTCTGAGAAATGGAGAAAGTGGGACAGTAACCCTATCTGATAGAGTGGTTGTTGGGATTAAGTGAAAAACCCCACATAAGTCACTTAGTACTTACCTCGTAATACACACTAGAAAAAAATCACTAGACATTATCGTGATTATTGACCTGCTGGGTCCCAACAAGAGCCTTTTTAAAAAGGTAAAAGTGCATCCACGTGAATAAATGGACCCTTGCAGGGGCCACAAAAAAAAAAAAAAAAAAAAAAAAAAACAGCCTGGCCTCAGTTCCCGTATTTCAAGCCAGGACCAACCAGAAAGCAGTTTTCTTCCACTAATCCGGAACTCCAGGCTGTTACCAACGCTGTCATTGGCCAGCGTCAGTCCTTGGTACGTGCCCCAAGATAACCCCCTGGTTTCTCTCCGTTTTCCCCCTACAATGGGCCTTTCCCGATGTTTGTAACATATTCATAATCTACAATACGGCATCTCTGATAACCGGTTCACATTCTTCAAAGTTTTCGGGTGGAAACAAATGAGGCCAAGGGGAGGGCAAGGTACCCTTTCTCCGACTCGCCGGGAGGGGGGAAGGGACAGTTCTTCGGCTCAGCGCTGAGCTCCAGAGCCGCGTAGGTTGAAGGGTCGGGGCGGGTTGGGGGAACAAGGTGGGGAGGGAGTGGAGTAAGAGTTGGGTTAAGTTGAAATGAAAACTTTACTCACCAGATCCTCGAAGCTTCTTCGGTGCTCTCTCCCCTCCCAGTCTAAGCGGCGCGGAATAAGCTGGGGGCCGGCGAAAAGAAAGGGGGGAGGGGGCAACGATAAAGGCCAAGCCTCTGCTCCGCGTCAACCCGACCCAGTTTGGGTCCGGGTCCTCGACCCTTTGGCGTCTTTATTGCTGTTGGCCTGATAGCTGTTGTCTCAGAGCTAGACGAGTGTTGGGGAAAGGAGGCCGAGGAGGAGGAAATCCTGAAAAAACACCTCCCACAGGCATAAAGAGGGGCGAGTTAAGACCCCAGCGATATCCGCCCCTTTTGAGGGAAGAAGCCGGTTCACCACTGTGACAACAGCTATGAGTGCCCAGATCCAAGCCTTCCTCCCGGCCCTAGCCCTCCGCCCCTTACTTGCCCTTCCTCCAGTCTCACCCCAACCGTCCCCACCTCTTCCCGAAGGGGCTGCGTACCTGATGCTCCTCGAGCTCCTGCACTAGCACCTGAGCAAAAGGGAAACACGGATATGAGGGCAGCTCGGGCCACCAACCCATTCCTCCCTCCCCAAACTGAACCCAGCCGCTGACGGCAGGGTTACTCAAGGCCGGCCTTTTCCTCACCCACAGCGGAACCGCACACCCTGCTGCCTCGATTTCCCCACTGGGACCATTCCCCAAGACTCCCAGATCTCCTTCCCCTTCTCACCTGAGCGGATTTGTTGCAGGGTCCGGACTGCAAGAATCTAGCGATCAGGTAATACAGCTCTGAGGAAGCGGGGGGGG